GCATCCACCGGTGAGTGATACCTCTGATGTTGATTTGGTAATGTTATTTAAGCTGCGTGGTTGGTGGTGGATGGAGTGCAAGACAAGTTGAGCAAAGCCGGAAAGAATTCACAAACAACAACAGCATGCATCAGCTCACTGCTGTGGTTCTGAATGCAAAAATAAGCCGAGTGAGTTGTTTACTTTGTTTCAGTCACTGACATTCAGTAACCTGCTGATATTTCCGTGTCCTACTGGTTCAGGAATAAGAAATACTAGATGTAAGTCCTTTAAGCAGGATTTGTAACGCAGAAATCCAAAGGTGCTGAGTTGCTGTGTCTTTCGGAAATGTATTCCTGTCAGAGTGGAAAAGTCCTTTTGAATTAGCTTTTAGAAAATCAGGCCTTTTAAAAATAAAGACATGCCATGATAATACAGTCCTCAAGTGCATGATCTGCTGGGCTGAAAACTATTTTGTTGTTGTTGCACCACTGAATGAACTTAACACTGCACTCAGCACTTATGAAATCTAAATTCAAATGTGGGTGATGGTGTTTGACATTCAAACAACTACAATCAATGCTTCTGTTTACTTTAGCGGCAGCACTGGATAGTAAAAACTCAGCACTGGCAGTCAAGCTAAGTGAATAGCAGATCTTAAAGGTGGGCCTGGTGTCATTGTAGTTCAGCAGTCAAGTCTCTTAAAACAAGGATTCAACTGAGTGAAGTGTTGGCCAAAATAAAATAATGAGGAGCCAAATTCAATTAAAACAGAAAACATAAGTGTTCACTGACATCCTCAGGCTCACCAGGACCTACACTTTAATCACACTGTGCCTAATTGATAAAAGTAAGTAAGAGTTTGATGTTGTTTTTCAGCTACTGCCACTTGGCTTGTTTCTTACATAAAAGCTTAAATACACTTCATTTATGATTTACTTTTCCCCCTCTCTTAAATGCTTAGTAAATTCATGCATTTTTTTTGGTCTGTTCTAATGGATTCATATACATCTGGGCCAAGTTACTGTGTTTCTTCTCTCCTCCCCCACCATTCGTTAATATCGATTTATGCATTATATGTTATTTCTTCCAGCTCAGCGACAAGGTGTTGAGGTGGTTCAGTCCCAGAGGGGACAAGACAGCGGTGTCACCGATGAAAACAACGAGATCTCAGAAGGTAAGAGCCACGGCAGGGAAACAGGAGGCAAACCAGGTGAACAGAAACACCGAAACGGGAAAGACTGATGCATCTGTCTGTTGTGAGTCTCTGGTCGTCTGGATTTTTTTTTTGGAAGGATTCTCTTTGAATTGCCATGTCGGGAAGACAACCTGTCATTCTTCAAGAACAACTCTGAAAGGAAAAGTAAGAAAAGTGTCCTGTAACCAAGAACAAGTTTTTCACAAAATGGAGAAGACAGCGCTGTAGACATCTCTGTTCTCCAGAATGCTGGCACCTTCTGTTTTTCTGAAGAAAAACTTTTAAAAGGATTGCTCCACTGACACATGAAGCAATCATTTTTAATGTCCCGACCTTTTTTGACTGTGGAAAAAAAGAGCAAAGGCACAAGAAAAGCAGGTAAGTGGAAGCTGAAGAGGCCTTCAAGTTCCGTCTACGGCATTCACGGCGGGTGTGGAACGGGTTCGATACAAATAAATCACCTGTGTACTATTCCTGCCCTTACAAGGTGAATATCATGGAGCCTCATTCCTGAGAAAATGGAGGGAAAGGAAATGAAATGGTGCGAAAAAGAGAATTCAAGTGGGAGCCTGCAACAATCAGGAAATGAATCAAGAGACGAGTGTGATAAACAAGCCAATTATTATTTTGAAAGTGATTTTAAGCACCACGTGCTGCAAAAAAAAACAAAAAACAGGGAACAAGGAAACAGCCAGGTAAGCCTAAATATCTGAACTGTGTGTCTTCTTCTAATTGTGTTACAATTGTGGTTTAGATTTATACCTCTACAAAATGGCTTTATAAAAGGTCTTTCCCATGTTTTGTCCCCGCATGAATGTATGTAGCAGTGGACAATATATTGGAAACAATTGAGTAGCAGCGATGATCATATTTTCATTTGTGTTTCTGTCTGCATCAAAACATAAATAAGAATTTAATAAACTCTTTGCTGAAGCATAAACACAGGATGTTTACCGTTACCGTGTTTTATTGGCAAAAACCTGATGTTGTGCCGTGTTCCTTTGCAGCTTTTGAAAATGTGATGTGTCCCTTTTGTGTGAGTGGTGTTGTGTTGTGAAGCCTTGAAATGGAGGAATAGTGTTAATGATGGTGCAGATGGGACTTCTAGCAGGTGGTTAGCCGCTGTCTCAAAACCAAATTACAGCTTCTGCTCTGAAAATCGTAACAATGGGATAAACACTTAGCAGTTCAAATCTCTTTTTTTTTTAAAATCTAAATCTACTTATTAGAACATCTCAATCATCCTCACCCCATTTATTTTGTCTTTATCTGTCTGTACTCACACTTTGGTTGCAGCGTCTTTAGATTTCATGTTGGTGAAATTGCACACTTCAGTTTGTTTTTTCGTCTCTGTGCAGAATAAGAAAGAAAATACTCAGAACTTCAGCTTTCTCCTCGCTGCAAATCTCATTTCACTCCATCACCTCATCACTTCCCATGTAATTACCGCCTGAATCCTCTAAATGGGGATATTATTCTTCTCTCAGCAGCGCCAGACCTTGGCAGGAGAGGTTTGGTGATTGGTCATTCTTTTACCCTCCAGACAGCAGAAACTTTACAACCTGTTAGGAATTTTCTCTGCTTCTACCTGAAATATACTTAGCCTACAGTATCCTAAGTTAACTCTGATGTCCTGGGGTCATTTTAATCCTGTCCGAGGTTTCATGCAATTACCAATTTCCCCTCTTGGAACCTGTGTTGAAGTGCAACGGAATGAGACTTGAGATTAGATTAAACTTTATTGCTCTCATGGGAAAGTTAAGAGGTTACAACAGCAAATGTAAGAGGATTAAAGATGTCTTTTAGTTGTCACAAGAATGACCCTGGAAAGCAAGGAGATGCTGCAGAATCAAAGGTAAATTATTATTCTGGTTTAGGATTAGGTAAATTTATTTTTTTTGTAGTGCTTTACATAAAACATTATAGGGAAATAAAAAAAATTGAAATACAATTTTTAAAATGGTGAAATGGAAATAAAACGGGACAGTAGAACTTACAGTGCAAGTTATTGATTTACAGCCTTACATTTGATTTAATTAAAGACAGTGGTACAAAGAAAAGTCTTCAGTCTTGATTTAAAAGAACTGAGTTTCAGCAGACCTGCAGTTTCCTGGGAGTTTGTTCCAAATATATGGAGCATAAAATCTGAACGCTGCTTCTCCATGTTTAGTTTTCACCGTGAGGACAGAAAGCAGACCTGATGCCAGACGACCTGAAAGGTCTAGATGGTTCATAATGAAGCAGAAGATCAGAAATGTGTTTTGGCCCCAAACCATTTAGTGCTTTATAAACTAACAGCAGTATTTGAAAATCAATTCTCTGACAGACAGAAAGCCAGTGTGAATACCTCAGATCTGGAGTGACGTGATCCACTGTTTTGGTCTTGGTGAGGACTCAAGCAGCGCGTTCTGAATCAGCTGATTGTTTTTATTTGTTTTTTTAGGAAGCCCTGTAAAGACAGTGTTACAGTAGTCGAGCTGACTGAAGATAAATGCGCTAAAAGTTTTTCCATGTCCTGCTGAGACATAAGTGCTTTAATCCTTGACATATTCATCAGGCGATCGTAGGCTGACTTTGTAATTGTCTTAATGTGCTAAAATTCATGTCCGTGACTACACCAAGATTTCTGGCTTGGTTTTTGGTTTTTAAAATTACCGATTTAGGATGTTTTATGTAGATTAATAGTTAACTTAAATTATTTAAACCTCTCTCAGGTCCTCACCATCTTGGCATCACCCGACTCTAGCTTATCCGAAAATGGGAAAGAGGTAGACCGAATGAAGCCTAGTTGGCTCCGGCTAGCCACCTGAGAGGGCACCCACCTGTTACTCAATGAACCCCACCCTAAATTATGTGTAACTTTAAGCCTTAATGTAATTTAAATGTGTAATTTATATAAAAAGTCACCTCCAGCACAGTTGTCATGAAGGGGAAATTATCTATAGAGAACAAACCTGCTTTTGTACCAGACTGTAGACACGTTTATGTCTGCTGAAATGGCCATTTTAACACGGGGCTATGTGGGGATCGACTCCCTTTTGGATCCAGCCTTAAGTGGCCATTTGATGAACTGCAGTAGCAAGTCCGCGTTGGCTTCTTTTTTCAGCCCCAGAGGTTGCTGCTTGGTTCTTTAATAGAAATAGCCAATCAGAGGCAAGTACAGCAGTAATGCATTTTTGAGCTTGTTTGCATCTACCCCG